CACTCTCCTGGTGATTATCCCAAAGTCACCCAGCGGGCTTTCATGCCTAAGGCGGGACTAGAACTCAGTGTCTCCTGATGAATGGTCCAAGGTCGCCCAGCTGGCTCTCATGTTTAAGGCAGGACTACAACTCCCCGTCTCCCAGTTTCTAGCCTGGTGCCTTCATGAAAGCCTGGCGCTTTCATGCCTAAATTGGAACTAGAACTCACTGTCTCCTGGTGACTGGCCTAAAGTCACCCAGCTGGCTTTTGTCCCTAAGGCAGGACTAGAACTCATCGTCTTCTGGTGATTATCCCAAAGTCACCCAGCAGGCTTTCATTCATGCCTAAGATGGGACTAGAACTCACTCTCTCCAGATGAGTGGTCCAAAGTCATCCAGCTGGACTACAACTCCCAGTTGTAGCCTGCTGCCTTCATGAAAGCCTGGTGCTTTCATGCCTAAGGTGGGACTAGAACTCATTGTCTCCTGGTGATTGGCCCAAAGTCACCCAGCCAGCTTTCATGCCCAAAACGGGACTAGAACTCACAGTCTCCTGATGAATGGCCCAAAGTCACCCAGCCGGCTTTCATATTCAAGGTGGGATTAGAATTCCCGGTCTCCCAGTTTCTAGCCTGGTGCTTTTACCACTAGACCAGGGGTAGGCAACCTCGGCTCTTTTATGACTCCTGGACTTCAACTCCCAGAATTCCTGAGCCGGCATGGCTCAGCTTGGAAACCTCTCCCTTTCCCCTCAGCATGGCTGGCTCAGGAATTCTGGGAGTTGAAGTCCACGAGTCCTAAAAGAGCCAAGGTTGCCTACCCCTGCACTAGATCAAACTGGCTCCATATTTTTTTTTTAAAAAAAGCTGAACATTTAAATATTTTATTAGATTTTATATAAATGAGGAAAGAATAGGGAGAGTGCCCGGTATGGGGAGGGAAGGGCATGGGGAATTTGGGATGGAAAAAAGGTAGGTACAGTAGTGGGGTAACCCCCAATAATAATCTCATACTTTAACAAACAAGCTACCATCCGGATCAAAATAGTAAATAAACATAATTTATATCTTACTCAGCCATTTTAAAATAAGATTAACTATAACCACATTACTAAAAATTGATAAACAGATAAAATTCCTCTATATAGATAAACATAAATAAAATCTCAACTAATCATAATTGTCAACATTAGCAATTATAAAAATAAAGATGTTATTAACCTAAGAACAGAAACTTACTTAAAAATCTATCATCTGTTCTATAATTTTAAGTTCTTTTCACATTCTAACATCTCTCTAACCATTGATTAAAAAAAAACCTGAACATTTTACACCCTGCCTGCAAGTAGGACGGGAGAAAGAAAAAAGCTGGGATGACACTCACCTCCTGAGACAGGAAGGGGATAAGCTGAGCGCAGATGACATTCAGCCGCTTGGCAATCTCTGTCTGCAAGGGTGGAAAAGGGGAGGAATGGAAAACACCATTACAATATATCATCGGCCTGAATTCCCCCAAAACATGTCTAGAAAAATCAGATCTCAGTCCTTATCTGCTTTTCATGCAAAAAAAAAGCTCTGCTTTTAAACTTTTAACATGGCCAATGGGCTGTTTTGTTTTCCTCAAAGTTTGGGACCACAGTCTGAAATCCAAAAAGGAGCGAGCAAGACCGGTTGAACTGACAGCCCGTCTCTGCAAACACTGAGATTTTCTGCTTTTGAAATCAGGCTTTCCCTGGTCCTAATTCACTTCAACGCTGGGTGATTTCATCCGCTCGTCAGCATTCCTGCTGCTTTCCTCCGGGATCTTCGGTTCAACTTCTTAGTACTCCTCGAGTTACGACCGTCCTGGAGCCTGCCCATCACGGTCGTAACTCATGACAGCTATAAAATAATCACAAGTGGTCAGACTCCATGACAGTCATAATTCAAAGACTGCCTGTATGCCTTCAGACCACACACGGGGGACTGATTTTATGACCTTGGCTGTTATTTTTCCTGCAGATTCACGAGCCTTGGCTAGCCTCATGCCAAACCCAGATTTTGAGCGGAGGGCTACAAGCCCCGTGTAGAAAGCAGTTGGATTCCCTCGAATGAAACCAAATTAAATTGAAATAAACCACATGATAGCAGCATTCCAGTATCTGAGGGGCTGCCACCAAGAAGAGGGGGTCACGTTATTCACCCAAGCACCAGAGGGCAGGACGAGAAACAACGGTTGGAAACTGATCAAAGAGAGAAGCAACTTGGAATTAAGGAGAAACTTCCTGACAGTGAGGAGGACAATCAACCAGTGGAACAGCTTGCTACCAGAAATCGTGGGCGCTCCATCACTGAAGGTTTTTAAGAAGAGGCTAGACCAGTGGTTCTCAACCTTTTTAATGCCGCGACCCCAACCGGTTGTAAGTCGAGGACTAAACCGGTCGTAAGTCGAGGACTAAACNAACCGGTCGTAAGTCGAGGACTTTCCCTGCCCGGGAGCGCCGCGCATGCGTGGTTCCGCCCCCTGCGCCGGCCGAGGCGTAGCTGGCAAGCGGCAGAGACGGAGCAGGCCGACCACCAGCTGGCCCAGCCCAAGGGAGGTAAGGCACCCGCCGGAAAAGGGGGGAAAAATGGCGGACAAAAAAAATGGCGGACAGCCTTCCTTGGCGACCCCCGTGAAATGGTCGATCGACCCCAAATGGGGTCCCGACCCACAGGTTGAGAACCACTGGGCTAGACAGTCACTTGTCTGAGATTGTATAGGTTCTCCTGCTTGAGCAGGGGGCTGGACTATAAGACCTCCAAGGTCCCTTCCAGCTCTATTCTTTTCTACACCGGCGTCGGTCACTAATTCAAATCAGCCAAAATAAAAATGAAATAAATACACGCTGAAAGGCTGGCTTTCCTACAAGGTCTACATTATTTCTATCATCCCATGATATTCTAATCCCCAAGTCAAAGCTTTTTTCTCTCACGTTTCTGGCAAATACAGGGAGTCCTCGACTTACGACCATGACGGAGCCCAAAATGTCTGTCGTTAAGCGAGACAGCTGTTGTGAATTTTTCCCCCTTTTACCCCCTTTCTCGCCACAGTTGTTAAGTGAATCACCGCACTTGTTAAATTATAGTCACACAGTTTGTTAATTGAATCGGGCTTCCCCATTGACTTTGCTTGCCAGAAAGTCGCAAAAGGAGAGATTCCGGGAAGTTGCAACCGCCATAAGTATGAGTCAGTTGCCAAGCCTCTGAATTTTCATCCTGTGACCATTGGGGGATGTTGCAACGGTCGCCAGTATGAAAAATGGTCATAAATTCCTTTTTTCAGCACCGTCATAACTTCGTCACTAAACAAACAGTTCTAAGTTGCCGATTCCCTTTATTTCGTCCCCCTGCCAGAGAGAGTCAAGCCACTGCTTTGAAGACGCCCAAACGCAAAATGTTTGCCAGAGTCTGCATCAGTGATTTAAGGAGTAGAGGACTTCTGAGCATGCACAGAGAGCCTTGCTCTCATCGGTCTCTCTTTCACCATGGAAACCATCCAATGCATTGAAAATGTATGATTAGGGGACTGGAAGCTAAAGCTTATAAGGAACGGTTGCTGGAATTGGGTATGTCTAGTTTAATGAAGAGAAGGACGAGGGGGGACATGATAGCAGCCTTCCAGTATCTCAGGTGCTACCACGAAGAAGAGAGAGTCAAGCTATTTTCCAAGGTGCCTGAAGGCAGGACAAGAAGCAACGGGTGGAAACTAATCAAGGAGAGAAGCAACCTAGAACTAAGGAGAAACTTCCTGACAGTGAGAACAATTAACCAGTGGAACTACCAGCCTCCAGAAGCGGTGAATGCTCCAACACTGAAAGTCTTTAAGAAGAGACTGGACAGCCATTTGTCGGAAACGGTATAGGGTTACCTGCCTGAGCCGGGGGTTGGACTAGATGACCTCCAGGGTCCCTTCTAACTTTATTATTATTATTATTATTATTATTATTATTATTATTATTATTATTATTATTATTATTATTATTATTATTTGCCCGAAACGGTATAGGGTTTCCTGCCTGAGCAAGGGGTTGGACTAGATGACCTCCAGGATCCCTTCCAACATCATCATTATGATTATGATGATGATGATGATGATGATGATTATAATTATTATTATGATTATTATTATTAAAACTGGGCAGGGAAGGGGCAAAGTTTGAATATTGGCCATCCCCATGAGCATCTGCATTCATTTTACTGGGGATACGAAGCTTCTTTTTTCTTTAAAAAAAAAGAAGATAGCACTTGCCAGGAAAAAAAAAAGAAGAAAAAAAAAAAACCAGAGAAGGAGAAAGGAGAGGAACGGAGACAGTAAGTACTTTCTGGGAAAAAATTAATTCCCTCCTGGGGGTTGCATAATGGATTTGCCTTTCTAATGCACTTGTGGCCAGCCACCTCCGGTGGAGGGGAGGGGGGCGCGGGGGGGAAGCTGTCTCCAATTCACTTGCGCCTCGTTAATGTTCAATTTAGTGGCCTTTTAACGCTCCGCCCGGATGAAAAATGATCAAAACCGCCCAGATTTCCTGCTCCCGGCCTAAAGTTGCTTCACACTCTTCCGTCCATCCATCCTTTCTTCCACGGCGGCGTGCAAAGGATAAGTAACACACAAACACACACACACACAAACGCAGCGGCTTGTTGGATTCCCCCCCCCCGTGCAAATTTTCTAACCCCTCGCTGGAACACTGGTACTCCTTGACTTACGACAATTGAGTCCGAAATTTCTGCCGCTAAGCGGGACACTTGTGAAGGGGGTTTTGCCCCCACTTTCTCGCCACAGTTATTAAGGGTATCACTGGGGTGGTTAAGTTAGTAACACGGTTGCGACTTTGGTCGCAAAAGGGAATCACGTGATCCCGGGGACACTGCAACCGTCATAAGGAGTTGGTTGCCAAGCGTCTGAATTTTGATCACCTGGCCACGGGGATGCTGCAATGGTCGTTAAGTGTGAAAAACGGTCGTAAGTCGCTTTTTTTCAGGGCATTGTAAGGCGGAACGGTCACAATCAAAATCCTACCGTTTGGCAACTGATTCATATTTACGACAGTTGCAGCGTCCCGGGGGGGTGTCACATGATCCCCTTTGGCGACTTTCGGACATGCAAAGTCAATGGGGAAGCCAGCTTCACTTAAGAATAGGAGCCAGCCGTGTGCTGCAGCTGCCAAAAAAGCCAACACAGTGCTGGGCTGCATTAACAGAGGGACAGAATCAAGATCAGGTGAAGTGTTAATACCACTTTACAAGGCCTTGGTAAGGCCACTCTTGGAATACTGCATCCAGTTTGGGTCACCACAATGTAAAAAAGATGTTGAGACTCTAGAAAGAGTACAGAGAAGAGCAACAAAGATGATTAGGGGACTGGAGGCTAAAACACATAAAGAACAGTTGCTGGAATTGGGTATGTCTGGTTTAATGAAGAGAAGGACGAGGGGGGACATGATAGCAGTGTTCCAATATCTCAGGGGCTGCCCCAAAGAAGAGGGAGTCAAGCTATTCTCCAAAGCACCTGAAGGCAGGACAAGAAGCAACGGATGGAAACTAACCAAGGAGAGAAGCAACCTGGAACTAAAGAGAAACTTCCTGACAGTTAGAACAATTAACCAGTGGAACAACCTGGAATGCTCCAACACTGGAAGTTTTTAAGAAGAGACTGGACAGCCATTTGTCCGAAATGGTATAGGGTTGCCTGCCTGAGCCGTGGGTTGGACTAGATGACCTCCAAGATCCCTTCCAACTTTATTATTATTATTATGGATCATCGCACAGTCAGCCAGATGTTCAGACTGGATTTGGCATTTTGTCTACCTATCGAGTCCTTACCAAGGACCTGGGATAGGCAGATGGGGATGGCAAGGACTCGATAGGTAGACAAAATGTAGGTAGAATTTATTATTATTATTATTATTATTATTATTATTACTAAGCGTGTCACTAACTTAATAGCTGCAGTGATTCACTTAATAACGGTGGCAAGAAAGGTCGTAAAACTAGGCAATATTTACTTAACTGTGTCGCTTAGCAACAGAACGTTTGGGCTAATTATGATCGTTAAGTTAAAGACAACCTATACTGAAATTTGAAAGACACCAACATCAATCTTCATATTTAGGCACAGGTTTAGCCTCGTTAACTATTCAAGCAGAATGCTACACAGCTTACAACAACCATTTTTTTTGTGTGTGACTGTTGGAGGTCACAACAGCCCTGGAAAAGTGACTTAAAACGCTGGTCCTTGCACTTAAGACCGTCGCAGCATCCTCGTGGTCACGTGATCAAAATTCAGAGGCTTGGCAACTGACATGTTACTTATGACAGTTGCATTGTCCCGGGGGGTCACGTGATCACCAGTTGCAACCTTCCCAGCCGGCTTCTGACAAGCAGAGCCAATGGGGAAGCTGGATTTGCTTAACGACTACAAGATTCACT